CAAGTCATGCACAAACAATATTGTACCTCGTTTAGCCTTATCGAAGTGCGATTTTCGAATGGGATAGAAAAGTTTGTGATTGATTCCTGACATCTGGTGTAAGCTCATATTAGTCGTGGAAAACGGCAGGGATGAATGGCTGTTGCTGCCGTGAATTTTGTACTTGCGAGATTGCATGGGCAATTTTGCTGAAATGATTCGTTCACGGTTCAACTCCTCAAATATGTTCGTACCCCAGTGGAAGCTGTTGTGCTTGTGAATGTGAATGTGAATGTGAAGCACATTTGAGCACGTGGCCCATTCTACCCGATTAATTTATTTGCAACGCGTCTAAACTTACAAGAATCTGTGAACTCATTTGACCTAAGGTAGCTCTGTAAAAATACTTTACTGACACAGTTCTCGAGACTTAGTGTGTGTAGTTTGGCCATTGCGAATCTACTGTAGACGATTGGCGAGAATGAGGTTGCAAAAAGGACTATTTTGGGGACGTGAACAGAAATATCATTTCCAAAGCAACCCAAAGAAGCATTGTAGATTGTAAGTAAATTATTACCAGTCCTCTAGCGTTACTCCTGAGTATATATTGGCTAATTACAAATCTTAAAAGTTAAAACTGAAATATTTAACGATACGTCAAATTGTTTGAGTACTGCCATGTGATTTAGGCCAAGACGACGATTATGATGGATTGACGCGTATAGCACCATTGAAAGAAGTGTAATAGAGTAATCCAGAAATAAAGTAATCCAGATAATTAAGCCTAGTTTAATTATACACATCGATTATATTCACACCAAACTACACACATCGATTATATAATCATAATTCCGATCCTCGATGGCGATTTTCTGTTATCAGATTTCCGCTTGATCCATATATATATCGTATCTATTGCAAACCCCAGTTTTAATGTTAGTTCAGTTACGACGTGAAGGCATGCAGTTGAGGGTCAATTTCGAGCGCTGCAGGGAACTGAAACACAACCTTTTTTGTGAAATTCGTGGCATTCACCCATGTCAGAAATGTTGTATCCCATGCATACACGAGCTATAAATGAATGTTTCAACTTTATCTTCCCGGCCTGATTCATTAACAGATTACGACTGAGGTTTACAATTTTATCACTAAAACAACATTCAATCTTTCCTTTTGCCGCGGAAAGAGTTCATTAGAGGTCGTCGTTTTAAATTGTTATCAAAGTAAGGCAGTATTATTAACAGGTCGCAACCTTGTTTTTCTCATGCAACCTGTTTCGTAATGTTGTTGCAGCGCAGGTTGAAGGAGGGAGGGTGGGCCTCGTGCACGAGGTGCCACTATGGATGCCGCCGAGCGGGAAAATTTGTAAGATTTATTTTCTCTAAACAGCTGAGAAATGGACGTTTCAGAGCACATGAAGATATAGCTTTTCAACCACAAGGCTGGACTCGCCTTGTATTGCCGGCTCGGACATTTCAGACGTTCGCTTTATTATTCACACCGAATACCGATCCGAAAGCGGAATGTTAATTGTTTTTGCAAACGATTATGAATCTCAGTCCAAGGTCAAACCACCAGACGACTGAAAATGGAAAGAATTTTTCATATCTTAGGGGAATGAGGATGTTTTGTCAGAATGCATGAGTAGAATATTTCAATTCGCCCAAAAATAGGACAGATGTTTGATGGTTATATTGAAACCAGGTTGATCTATACCTAGCGCTTAATTTAGGGGGAGAGAAGCTTTGTTTCCTCTCATTTCACATAGGACTAATTATATCCAGTAATCTGTTCCTGACATTTTTCAGTGTTTTGGAGTGTCGGTAGCGTAACAAGCCTGACAATTTAGTCTTGCCATGCAAATTTAAGGTTATTATATACAGTAGCGTAGCCAGCCTGACAATTTGTCCCGCTATGCTAATATTTTGGTGTTTATTGACTGTGAAAACAATAGATTTCTAAAGAAATGAAAATTCTAATAACACGAAATTTACATAGCGGGACAAAAAGGTCAGGTTGGTTTGCCACTGATTATATAATAGGTTTCAGCTGTCTATGAACACTATATCCGCATAACAGGATTAAATTACAGGCTAGCTACGCTACTGATCTTAGTTTTATTTATTCTGCTTATACATGTCTGACATGACTCAGAATTTTAAACTTTAAAACGTATTCAAAAATTCAGAACAAAGTCCCAGAAGAAGCATGATTATAGTGCCACAAGCCTTGAAATTCCATTTGACTGAATATCGACGTATGCAAATTGTAGTGTTTGTGTGCATTACCCTCCATGAAATACTTCAGCAAATTTTTATACTCAGTAATCAGTGAATAATCATTCGACTTCAGTCAACCGTTCACTGAACCTACGGGCTCCAAAATCAAGTCAGATTGAAATAAATAACCTGTCAGGGATAGAATTAACAATGGATTAGGGCGTTTTCCTTCAATCGAATCAAAATTTTGGAAAACTCAAGGCCCTGAGGACGCTGTTTCAGAACTCTCAACTGCAACCATCTTAATCAAATTGCTCAAATTCGAAAAAAATAAATCCGCTTCACGCGAAAAATATCACTAGTGTAAAACCATAGGCGGCCCAGAACTGATCTCACTGACCTCGCGCTACGCTCATGTTGTCTGAACAGTCTTATATTATGACAAGGTTGGCAACTCTCACGCCAAATAAGCTAAAAACGCACGACGGTTGACCCAAACACCTTTACAAAACCGGAAATATTTCATAAAAATATGGCAAATAAGAAAAAAAAAGTACAACACATTAAACTTGAATAATTTTACTACATTTATACTATATTTTTAGCATTCAAATGTATTCCTATGCATGTATAAAACGTGAATGTTTTTGGTTTCTGGCAAATATATTTCAAAACCTATGCTGGGGACACCTTGCCTATACCTTTGTCATATTTTTAAATTGAGAATAGAAAGCTTATTGGCTCTTTTTAAACGACAGCCAATCAGCTTTCTATTCTCAATTTAAAAATATGACGAAGGTATAGGCAAGGTGTCCCCAGCATAGGTTTTGAAATATATTTGCCAGAAACCATAAAAACATTCACGTTTTATACATGCATAGGAATACATTTGAATGCTAAAAATATAGTATAAATGTAGTAAAATTATTCAAGTTTAATGTGTTGTACTTTTTTTTTCTTACTCGCCATATTTTTATGAAATATTTGCGGTTTTGTAAAGGTGTTTGGGTCAACCGTCGTGCGTTTTTAGCTTATTTGGCGTGAGAGTTGCCAACCTTGTAATAATATAAGACTGTTCAGACAACATGAGCGTAGCGCGAGGTCAGTGAGATCAGTTGTGGGCCGCCTATGGTAAAACCGGCTTTATACACTATGCAAATTTCCTTGCAAACATTGCAACGTATAATTTTGAGGGATGTTCATTTGTAAAGAGTGTTCGCATTGCTAAAGCCTAAAGGCCTATTTTGACTACACGCTAAGTTGTGTGCAATTATCATTCTGACGAATGCAAAAGAGGGCCTGTATGCAACAATCTTTATTCATATTGCCGTGTTCAAGGCGGAATTTGAAACTACTTTGAAATATACTCATACTTTCACATACGCCAGGGTACGAATCGTATACGACAGATCGCATAGTGTAAATGGGCCTTAAGAAAACGTTAGAAGATCCTAAGAAATGTTCAACTGTGACAACTTTAGATGCCTTAGGAGTAGAATTGCGTTGCACGTTGCAAGGAAAGTTGCATAGTTAAACCCCGGCTTAAGGGTGAATATCGGATTTCAACTTGCAGAGAATGAATTCGCTATAAATCGTACTGATTATATTTCCTTTTGACAGAAAAATAAATTAGTTCAGCTTGACTGTTCTCAATTATTCAAAAGAAAATATGCAAATATTTCGCTTGCAAACTACTGTATTTCTCTGCAAGTGAATATCCAGCCTGATTGACAACGCATGGATTTCTGCAGTCGAAAAATCTCGCCTAGATATCAAGCTACCGGATATTGGATTTCTCACTGAACTTTAGAGCATCTTAAAATGAAGTCTACACAAAAAGATAACAGAAATGAAAAGTATACAACAAAGTGCAGTAGTGATCAAGATTATAACATCGGTGTTCACCAGAATTATTCCAGATGTAGTGATGTACGTAAATCGTGTCGCACACTGCATATCGCCGGTTGTAATCTACAATTAGAATCTACCCACCTTTTACAGGAAAATTTCTGCTTAAGACCCACCGTCGAGACTGTTAGAAGTTAGTTAGTTCGTCCGTTAAAAATTTCTCCTTTTTCAGATGAAATAATGGTATCTACCCTCGCATGTGGTTTCATGTTGCTGCTGCTCAAGGAAGCATGGATTTTATGCTTTTGCTCATGCGCAGAACTATGCACGATCCGGGACCGCTGAGCCGGGGGTACTAGGGAACTTAGGCCCCCCCCTCCAATATTTTGCAGATCGAACGTTTGAGTGACTATGGCAAACATGGCGGCAGTGGACTTATGCATTTATTTTCTATGAGCCCCCTCGATATAAAAGTACTCCGCGGTCGCTGAAGATTAATACTTGCAAGAAATTTCGCGTGACCGGTTGACAGCTTTTTCAACATGATACAAAAAAAAGTATCAAGGGCGGGGGGTGACACAATTGCAGCTCTTTCCTCAATTTCCCACTTTTCCCAATGGGAGCTGTTTTTTCACCGATATGTTATATCGTACCTTTGATTATTTTGAAGCTCCTATTCAGGGAAATAGTCACCTTTGGCCAAATTGACCCGCCAAAAATTGCTAAATGAGATATTAATTGCAAGACTTATCACCAGGCATTAATTACGAAATTCATCATCCTTCATAATACCATCGAGCACAAGTTTTCATATTCTTTGTACATGACTTTTTGGAAAAGTCAGTCTTGCGTAAAAAAACAATAAAAATGCCACTTTTTGACAGGATGCCATAATGGTAAAATAACATGAAGTACTTGCTATGCCCAGCTCACATAATTTTAAAATTCATTTGTTTAAATTGTATTTTGTTACATTCACTAATTAATATGATTTGCAATTTTGAATTGGATTGAAAATTTGATCATAATCTTGGTTACAGGACAAAAATTACAACCAAATATCAACTTAATCTTGGTTATTAAGCAATGCCCTCAGGAGAAGTTTGTAAACATGTTCCCAGCTCCAAATTGTTAGGTGCTGTTTGTGTTGGTGCTGTGAGTGGGATGGCAGCTTATTTTGTCATGACCAAGATAAGGTGTATATGTAAACACGTCAGTGACAAATGCGACAATGATGATAAGGTAGGTGAAGTAAAGTTGGCTTAATAAAAATTAATTGCTACAACTACAGATATATGAAACCTAAATTTTTCAAATTTTTCCCAATCAAAACTACATTCCTGCTCAAGCCACTTAATATCTTTATCTGCTTACCCTACTTCCCAGAGCACTTGTAAATATGGCACAAGGGGCCATCATGGTTTGCACAAATCAAGATTTTTTTTCAAATTAGAATCCTTCACATTAATTACTCAGGCCTCGTCCTAACCCATTGATCCAAATCCCCATAATGGTAAATATTAATTTCATGCAGACTCAGAATTTTGCAGTGATACTTTGCCTTATTGTTAGCTATATATCAGCTCAATGTCTCCTTCCTATATTTTGCTTTTGAATTAATTAGAGTTTTGATTTACCTATGTAATAATTCCTTGTAAAGGGATAGTCTCTGTGCTCTAGCATTTAGTTTATCCCTGCCCCTTGGCAGCTATGCCGATGGCCTGTTATGCTCTGCACAATAACAGCCTCTGCTTTTACACTGTACTATTCCCTATTCTTCATTAGGATGACCACCCACGAAAGCTAATTCCTCAGATATGTCAAGAATTTCATCGCAAAGGATGGATGACTGGTTCTGGGGGTGCAATAAGCATCAAACTAGGGTAAAAATAATTTGGTTACATTTCCACTTAAATAATTTCTGCTGCATCTTCTGCTGACCAGGATGATTGTCCGGCTGACCAGTCCTTCAGACCATGCTCGCTCTCCTGCACCATGCTGGCTGTCCTGCAACAAGGATGATTGTCCTGCAGACCATGCTGGCTGTCCTGCTGACCATGCTGGCTGTCCTGCAGATCATGCTTGCTGTCCTGCGGACTATGCTGGCTGTCCTGCAAACCATGCTGGCTGTCCTGCTGACCATGCTGGCTGTCCTGCTGACCATGCTGGCTGTCCTGCTGACCATGCTGGCTGTCCTGCTGACCATGCTGGCTGTCCTGCAGACCATGCTGGCTGTCCTGCAACAAGGATGATTGTCCTGCAGACATGCTGGCTGTCCTGCTGACCATGCTGGCTGTCCTGCTGACCATGCTGGCTGTCCTGCAGACCATGTGTGGCTGTCCTGCTGACCATGCTGACAGTCCTGCAGACAATGCTGGCTGTCCTGCTGACCATGCTGGCTGTCCTGCAGACCATGCTGGCTGTCCTGCTGACCATGCTTACTGTCCTGCAGACCATGCTTACTGTCCTGCAACCATGCTGGCTCCCCTGTGCACCATGCTGGTTGTCCTGCAACCATGCTAGCTGTCCTGCAGACCATGCTTGCTGTCCTGCAGACCATTCTTGCTGTCCTGCAACCACGCTGGCTCTCCTGCGGACCATACTGGTTGTCCTGCAACCATGCTGGTTGTCCTGCAGACCATGCTTGCTGTCCTGCGGACCGCGCTGGTTGTCCTGCAGACCATGCTGGTTGTCCTGCAACCATGCTGGCTCTTCTGTGCACAGTGCTGGTTGTCCTGCGGACAGTGCTGGCTCTCCTGCAACCATGCTGGCTCTCCTGCAGATCATGCTGGCTGTCTTGTTGATAGTCCTAGTTGTCTGCTGACACTTGTTTGTTCAGCTGCATGACCATGGCTGTCATGCTGGCCAGTAGCTATGCTGGCAGTTTGCTGACTGGCCTCATTGTTTCTGTTGACCATTTTGGCTGTTCTATTCTGCTTTAGCCGTGTGCATGGTGCTCCGGAAAATGATGTTTTCATTAGGAGGAACATACTAGTTGTATTCTGACAACATTCCTGCTATTTTGCGCCCTGATTTCATGTTATAACAATGTTTGTTCTGTTTATTTAATCTTCAGGAATGAAATCTTTGTGTCTCCATCTGGTTTATTGAAAGAAAGAGTCAAGGTAGCTATGTTAATTATTTTAGCGACAAGTATAGAATGAAATGAAAATGAGTGCCTTTCAGTGAAAATGTTTTCCTTTGTATATTCCCAAGGCTAGTTCATTATTTGTTTGTGACATTCAAGGTACCTATTTGGATGGACCGCCAGCAAGGTTTAGTATATTTTCTCATATATTCATACACATATGCATACTGTACTTTGTTGCAGATTGAATATTGATTAATTGTTATGTTTTCTGCGATTGCAAGTAGTAATAGAATTTCAACGTTGTCTATTTTAGGCTAAATATGAAGGAAAGTTCCTGCACTCCAATGTTTATGAATGCCTATCGGAAAAAAGGTATTATACACTTCTATTTAAAATGCCTAAAGAGTGAAGTACCGTGCATGTTCTTCTAATAAAACGGCAACTTCGTGGATTGTTACGTAAGGGAATGGCACATAATATGAGTTGTGTGCAAGACGAGTGTAAAGAGACCTTAAAACGTCATGTAATTTATAATCTGTTTACTATGTATCCATTTTCGTAGGTGCAGGTGCTGTATTTCACGTTCATGCTCAGAATGCAGTTATGGTGACATTGTTGTATCCTGGAAAGGAATTTAGAATTGCTCATCAGCAAATGATAAAAGCAATTGTAAATTGTGAAACAGGGAAAAATTATAGGTATAGTAATATCTGACTTGTTACCGCTTCTGTTTGTTTTCAGACGTTAACTTCGTAGCTAAGATAAACAGAGTATTGACTACAGTCTACGTATTACTAGCCTACATTGTTCTTTCGAAGTTCTTTCAAAACATGACATTTCTTAGTGTTAGAAGTTCCGTCGAGCGTTGCTGGAAACGTTAAGTGCACAAATGCAGCCTTTTTCACGGCAATTAGCGTTGCTAGAAACGACCATTTTAAATTTTCATGAGGATCTATTCCTGAAGGATGTATATAGAAAGGTCGTTCAAATCAGAAGGATATGCTAGCCTCACTCTCGGGTGTCACCTTCTTCTGGCGCTAGCATCGTTGCCAAACTCCCCACTTCATTGGCGACACTATTTGAAGTCTTTCAGATGCTTTGTGATTGAGCTCACTTCAAACTCTTTGAATTCTAGCTGAGGTTTTTTGAGGGCTATTAAGTGATGAATGCTCGATGGCCCTTGTGCTTGAAAGACCTTGTCTTTTTTCGAAAGACATTTATGGTCACTATTGCTCATTTTAACCAGACTTGTTGCTCATTTTGACTAGAATAAGGCATTTACTCCTTACTCGTTTAGCCTTTTTTCAACCATCTTAATGACGCCACCAGCCAACCCTGTTTTACTACAACACTGCAGTAGTTGAATGTTCCTTAATAGCAGCCGTGCGATTAAAATATTTATGTAATGATTTTCTTGTAGATATGACGAGGAGCTTGTTATTCCAATAGTTGAGAACGAAAATGAAGAAATAGAGATAAAGGTAGCTATATAGAGGAAGAGATTACCCTTTTTACGTATTTTACCTGTTTAGCTACTTTTGACTTTTTTTTTATCAAATGTAGGATAGTATTGTGGCAGCCATGGATGAATATCCGGAGACATCAGCTGTCTTAGTCAGAAATCATGGAATTTATTTATGGGCGAAAACCTGGGTTAAAGCTAAAATAATGTAAGTAATGTTTTATACGAATGTAGACGTTCCTTAGGCTTATAGTTTATCAGTACGTCGCATTTTGGTCACGTCAAACGCAATGCGAACAATAAACCTCATTAAAGGGACATTACGTATATTTTATCATTTTGTATTGTTTCAATTGCATATCTAAATCAGTGATCTTTATCTATAGATACTAGGTGATACTAGGTGGATACGGGTAGTGTCGCAGCTGCTCGCAATAATGATTTTCATTGGGTGAACTCCACAATACATTTCTGTTTGAACCAACAGCATAGCTTCGTTCTTTAGAAAGCATTGAAAAGCATTATCCAATTGCACGAAAGCTTCTGAGCACTGCAACATGTCCCGGTGATACTAGGTGATCCTAGGTGATACTAGGTGATCCTAGGTGATCCTAGGTGATACTTGGTGACAGCAAAACTAACGAGCCAATCGTGTAACTTCCGTTGGCTTTTCGCGTTTGAAGTATTTTTGACAAAAGTATTTGGTTAAAGCTCAGTTCCAAACCACCTAATTTATGCCTGCTATTTGACAGTTAATTAATTTCTTTCCTTTATATACTGTACTCTAGGTGCGAAGCTTACGACTATATATTCGAAGTGGCTGTAAAAATGAAGAGTAATGGATTAGATCCTATGAAGCATACTACGAAGTAGTCGCGACAAAGTATCCAATTGCCGTCTAAAAGATTAACTGAAGAATTTTAGTTAAAAAATAAAAGTTATAAGTTAAGTTAAAAAATAAAATTGAAAAGAATTGAAACATCACGGGAAAGTCAGAGAGGGTTTTTCTACGTGCTCTACATGTATTTTAATTATTGGAGTTCAGTCTTTAGATTCTAAATCAGTCTTAAAGTCGTGCATTGATTGATATGATGGATCTTCGTGTTTCTGGATCGTTGTGTTATTGATCGCTATGTACTGCATACGTGGTGTATATGATATATCTTCTGAACATCAGATCAGTGGGAGGGACGAATTAAATTTGAAAACCCTCATATGTCACTTTTCTTGGCACCCAATATTGTCAGTTACACATTTCATTCTGATGTGCTTGGTATTTCCGGCGACAGCATTCAGACGCACTCCAGAATGTTCTTAAAATCTCTTTACAAACGCCATTTTCAAAAAGCTAATATATAGTGTCGGTATCATTTTTGGTTTGAATATTGATTGTCAGAACGATGTTACTGAAAGCAATTTTAGACCGCATCTAACGACCAATTCTCGAATTAAACTAAAATTTTAAAACTTGGAAAAGCTGCTTTAAAGGACATCCCAATATGATACAAAATTTCCATACAGCTATATATTCGTTCAAGGTTAGGTTTCGTAACCGTACTTATACTATACCTACTCATAACACATTTCGCAACTAAACTTTCATTCTGATTGTCCTCCTAGTTTAGAATTTAGCTTCATATATAGATCTAAATCTCATTGATATTATCATTCAACCAAACAGCATTCACTTCAACTAGCCACTAACAAGCATTAACTCAAAGACAAGTCCGTTCAAATTATTTGTTAGGCAGTCACCGACAAGCTTACAGTGTCAGGGGTTTAACTTCAATTTCAGTGTGTTTTTTTTAATGATCACATATTAAGACACAAGAACGGCTTTGTAACATGATTTTGATGAGCTTTAGTCTGGCTGTCGAATACTCTTCAATAATAAAAGACAGCGAGTCTGGTTGTGAGAAGAAAAACCAATACCAATAAAATATTTTAGCACTAAATAGAAAACAAAACATAAACAGAAGGGCAGAACATCTTAAAAAATGAAATTATAAAGTGTACAATATATTGCAAGGTCTTATAATATGAACTAGTTATGATCCATGACACTTTATAATATAACATTTATAATACGCGCGTGCTGATTGGTCAAAAAGCGTGTTTCTATAACTATCGAAACACGGAAAATGTTTTTTATTTCTTAACTGACACACGGAAGTCCTAAAAAATGAAAATATCACGAGCTTATCCTTGTAAGTTTCAACCAAGAATCTGGTTTCCTAGATTTTTCCAAAGGAATTATCAACAATGAGAGGCAGTGGTTAGTTATAATTTGTTTTTTCAGCCGTATGATTGTAAGCTGATTGCTCGCAAAACAAATATTTTTAGTCAAGGAAAGGAAGCATTTTGAAGAACAACTCTTAAGGATTATGAAGTCATGCAATGGGGTAATGGACTATTGAGAAGAATTATCGTTTCAAAGCAGATTTAAGATGGGACTGAGACCCGCCCGTTCCTGGTTTAAAACATATGCACAAAATTCTCACGCTTATTTCGACAATATCATATTTCAAATTTCGAACTTCTAGAAATAGCTATGAAATCGTGCCAGAACACGACAGATCGGCCCACAAGGTGACTTGCAACATGAAGTATCCCACCAATGAAACACTTTCCATCGTGACCGCGAAGATACAGAAGTCTGGGGCGATGTTTTGATTCTTTTATTCGTGGACATAAAATTGTTTGTATTTGACAAACGTAGTGGTTGTTTCACATTTCATTGCGATCTTTACGCATTTTAGTCGTAAAAGAACCACACAATGTCTATGAAAGGACAAAACCGTACTTCGAGTACCGAAGAATCGTACACTTACACAAATTTCTGGGGGATTGACGGCTATAAAAACACTGTAAAACGACTAGAAGATGGTGCTGCACTGTGCGACGAATTCACGAAGATGGTCCATGAACGAGCAGATATTGAGATGAAATACACTTTAAAGTTGCGAGATTGGTCTAAACGCTGGAACGAGAAGATAAATGGCAGGATATCAGAGTATGGTAGTATGTTAGAAGTTTTCAAAGCGACTCTTCGCGAAGCCGAGGACATGGCTGAAATTCACGTCGAAAGGCACAACCGTTTAAAGGCCGATTTGTGCGAATCTATAAAACAGTGGAAGAATCAGCACTACCACAAATCTGTTTTGAAGTGGAAGGAGGTCAAAGAGTGTGAGACGGGTTTCAGCAAGATATACGAACCATGGGCAAGGCGTTATAATAAGATGGATAAATCGAAAAAGAATTTCCACCGAGCAGCGAAAGCCTCAGAGCATGCTTCATTGGTCGCGAGTAATGCAGACAAAGATGGCAGTATGCCTGAGAAAGTAAAGAAATTACAAGACCAGGACGCGAAGCTAAAATTAGAGCTTGAGGAAGCCCGAAAGAAATACGAGCGACGTTTATCTGAGATGAATGCGAACAACGATACGTACGCTGAGGAACTCGAAGCTGAATTCCAAAAGTGGGAGCGTTTTGAACAAGTCCGTTTATCGTTCTTCAAGGACGCCCTGCAAAGATATCACAATGTGGTGGATATGTCGGAGAGTGAAAGGTATGCAATGAATTTCTCTCTTTTGTGTGTATAACTGATCTGATTTCCAACCGCTCATGTTATTAAATCATCGCTAAACATATTTCGTGCTTCGCCTGGGATTAGAATGCATGTTCGGTTTCCGGCTTTTTTATTGATATTGTGTGAATACTGAATAGATTTTTTGTTGCCCGGTGATTTATCAAACTGTATGAATTTGCTCACGAATTTTCAGCGATTTCTGTTAGCTAATTAAGATGATTGCCTAATATTAGCTACGGGCTATTAATTCATAGTTCATACCAAATAAATACAGATTGTTTGTATTTCAGTTTGAAAATTTAAACCATCATATAAAAATGTGCAATCAATTGCCTTATTAAGACTGGTTGAACGTCTTGAGTGAATACTTAACAAGTCTGTACCTAGTTTTTTCAACCAAGTTGATTAAAACACAATTGATTCATGTTTTTTCTGCACCCCACAAGTATAATTATCAACAAAGAACGATATTGTTACAACTTTAAATGGAAAACTTTTTAGGTTCTTAAAGAGTTATTAAAGAGTTATTAAAGTAATAAATACCCATGAGAATTATATAAACAAATGCTAAACACAGCAGCAAAGTCTAAAAGGAAAAAGCTCATTTCAGTTTTGGCCTGTTAGTAATTTCATAATTTGGTGATTCCAAAATCATGATCTATTTTAGTTACCTGGTGTATACTTTTTCTATTTGGTCACACTGAGCTTTTAGCAAATACTGTAATATCTGGATGTTTTTAGCTTATTATTTCTGATCTGGTTGGCTAAACAAGGAAGTTTGAAATTAAATAATTTTAAATGCTTGTTTGAAAATGTACCACGATCGCATTATACCGCGCTTATACAGGCTGTTACATAATACAGAACTGCAGTGGCACCAGTTTTATCAGGCTGAGGCCTGAGAGAACATTTTTAATCACTGAAGGTGGCAACACTCCTAAGGGTGGTGTGTGGACAGTCATGTCCTATATGTTTGCATTTTTACCAAGTGTGGAAGGATGAAATAATGTACCTTTGAAATAATTTTACTGGCGGACACCAACTACAAAACATGAAATAATTTGACTGGTGACACCAACTACAAAAAATGAAATAATTTTACTGGTGACACCAACTACAAAAAGTGTTTATTTACTGAACATCACTGTTATAAGCATTTTTTATTATATTCTGCATAACTGTATGTGAATATTAGGTGAAAATGCACTGCACATTTTATATCCTGTTTAATATATTCAAATCTTTTATTTGAATTCAGCTCAAAAGTTGCTAAGGCTGTTTTACTTCGTAAATCTCATATTGGAATGCTACAATGAATACCATAAATTTTTTTTCAGATAAAGAGCTAGTGCTTTTTAGGTGTGGGTACTAGATCCTTTGTTAGATTTTACCGTTTGGAAAACACTCTTGATTTGGTCAGCCTTAATTACAATGAAACAGTGGTATTTAAAATCCCTGGCATGCCAAGCATCACTCCTTCATGTTATTACCCTCATTACACAGCAGGTGGAAAGGTGCAGCCCACTTCTCTTAATAAATAATTATTTTCAACCCAAATCTGAGATATTGTGTAATGATATCTTATTGTGAAATTCTATGATCACATATTTCACTGCATGCTCACACATTCTCTGAGTGCTTATAACTGTTCACTCGGGTAACTTCCCAGTGCTCTCGTATTTGATTTTAAGGAGTGGTAAAACACTTCTAGGGAAGGATTAGATCATTCTTGATTCTACCTAAGAAAGTTTTCAATTTATGGTACATCAAACTATGATTTCACATGTTTTAAAAAACTACCAGTAAGCAAAAAGTGTAAGGTCATGGAAGTTAGACTTCGCCGTTTGTCGTTTCCCGCCAACTTAGATTCTTCGTTATCCACTCGGATATGTGTAGTTCCGGTTGTAACGGGTACATTAATCTCTTCATTTTTTCAATCATCAAAATTTTACAGCGTTATCCATGTGGTTCTAAAATATCGCTTTTTTGTTTAAAATAGTCTCTTTCAAAGAAGCTTGTATCAGTAAAACGTCTTAGACTTAGAACGTCTTAGACTTAGCTACTTAAATCTAGATGACTGTAATGCGAGATATCCGAGATTTTGATACAATTCCAAGATAGTGCGTCTGTATTTGTGATCAATCATCGCCAGTATTAGTTTGCATCTGATGGAATAAAGTTGCCTTTTGAAGACATCGAACTTTGTACTCTGCATACTCTATTAGCGCTGGAAGTTTATAAATTGCCTTCGAAATAATTTCCCATCTCCAGTTTTTTATATTATATATAGTTCAGGTCAAGCTAATTTCCACGTTAATTCACAAACAATGACTCATCATTTCTCGCGCTGTCGGAGTTTAAGTTTATTGGTTTTTGAAATATAACCTTAATTGAATCATCCGAATATTAGCTAGGTATTGCATTGATGCGATATGATATCAACACTTCCATTATAAAGAAAGTTGACCAGTTTTTATTTGCCGTGCATGTGATCTAAGCTGTTTGACTTTCAAAACAAAGCAAAAGCTATATTATTGGTTTAATGTGCAATATCGATGATTTGTTCTTTCATTTAGATTGACCAATATTTACAAAGGGTTGTTACTAAAGGTGGATGGTTCTGATGCAACCAAAGATCTCAAGTGGTGGTCGTCGCAATATGGACCGGGGATGCCTAAGAAATGGCCTGAATTTGAGGTATGAATTTCTTTTTCCATTTTTACAAATCGTGCAAGCGTAGCGTACTAAGTATAACAACCTGTACAAGAAAAACAGCTGTTTTTACGTATGAAATCATTCTAGTTTATAGAAATCACCTATTCAGTAACGAATGCCGTAGGAAACGCGGCTTTACTACACTTTAAATTGCCGGTAGCTTCATTAAGATTCATTGTAGCGAAATGTACAGTAGCGTCTGAGTCAGAAAATTGCCTGAAGGCCAAGTTTCATATAACTCCAAGAAATGAAAGAACTTTACTGTAGCTATACATGCAGCAATAAAACTGCAAATAAATCCTACTTGTTTCAAAAAAGAAAAGGCTGAATGTTAGATGCAGAATAGGCGGCAATAAATCACGGGTAACCGTCTCTTAATAAGAACACTGGTTATTACACATACAGTATACTACTCCTAGCAGGACCAATGAACATTAATACAAAACTATAGCTATGTACTTTTCACTATAGTTCTTTGGGCGCTACTGTTAATTGCGCACTATAGCAGCAACGTTTTATATAAAGTGTTATATTATATACTCGTTCATAAAAGTTTGGGATGCATTTCGCCTCCCTACGTATATAGCTTGCCTTCAACTCGTGCACGAGTTCATTTCCATTCCATGGAAAGTTGTGAGAATCAGTGAGATTAGCGTGCTGTGTTCCTCGAGAGCAGCCATACTGCCATACTCAGTTCTAATCATTATAACTATGTTAGCGAGTGAATACACGTACACACTAAGAACGTCAGATATGTTTTTTGACAATTTTTATATCCTATTCCATAGTTCTTACTACTTACATAGTTCTTCGTAACTAATCCCAGTGGCGGATGCTAGTGCAAATCAAATCAAATAACTGCTAGATTATGTACTGGCTTGAATAACGCCGTTATTAGCTACTAATCTTTCTTTAGAATATTTCAAATCTATAGTCTTGCATGAATCTATATAACATTCCCAAAATAGGAACTGGATGTTCTTATTCCTTTTGACTTACGCGTTAATTACTAATTTTTAGACGTAGTTAGCTACCCTGATTATTATAATCATATAGTACATAAGTATTATAAGCTGAACGTCGATAATTTGCGTTTACACGGGAGAGAAAAAGTTTTATTCGTGGAAAATTCGTATCAGACACTTGATAGATTATACGACGTCGTTCATGTCTCAGACTATGGTCATTCATATCGCACACACGTCTGTATTTCCTACTAAAGACGTCCTGGTTTCACCCGCGATGACACAGCATCCGTTATCCCTGGCCAATGTTTGCACGAGTTAAATAGGTTCGGATTCGCAGAAATCTTTGCAGAATTAACGGTGGGAATGTCGCCCGTTTATACTGAGAACTTCAACTAGCTTATGACAGTTCATGCAATGATATAAATATCCAGGGTTTCCACATGCAATGCAAGAAAATGTCCTTGCAAATTGACAACCAGAAGAGAGGAAGGGGTCTGTGTTACTAGGATATATTATGCATTCTTTTCAAAAGTTCTTTGTTTCTCTTTTTTGTCATCCCCCTATGAGGACAGCCATATATGCAAATAAGTTGTGGAAACCCTGTAAATATCATAGTCATGCAATCACTCGCTCGGATCAATCAGCTGATGAAATTCCTGCGAATCCGACTTCCTTTCTCTCGTGTAAACGTGGTCTCCTGCTCCTCCACAGGATCCTCACGTATGGGATATTTCCTCGAACCAACATAAATCGAAACCGAGCATGATCAGAAGACTTAGTCTACGAAGGCGGAACAGTAAGCAACGATATAGAACATCGGTTACCGTGACAACACCTGCACAGCCTGAGAATACACGGGCATCCGATTCAGACTCGTATAATCCCTTCATGAGTGCCTCCACTGAGCGGGGTAATGATGAAGATAATAACGTGACCTATGACCACCCTAGATCATCATATTACATGACACCATCAAATGGCATGCAGGAAGGCTTCCCTCACGATGAACATTATAGATCGCCAAACATTGTTGATTCTTATAACGACGCCTGGAATAGAAACACGACGTTTTCTCCGACGAATCAGGAGCAAACTGCTCATTCCGCATACCAACAACCCAGTGGTAATGATTATTATAACCAAACGAGTTGGGTGAGTATTCTTTGTTTGCAATCGATTTCCCTGAGTTGCCAAGCAATCAAACAACTCCGGAGATTCTTCTCTCATGGAACATGTAAGGAGATTTCCAAACGCATTAAAAGATTAAACGAACGTTTAAAAAACTACAATACGCGTAATAGCCAGATGCAATTCAATAACGTCACTGCTATACCAGGCAACCCGAAGATAATGGCGAAGCGCGTTACCTCTTTCCCCTAATCTTCGTCGAAATGGATCACTTTCTGAATGTTTGAAGGCAAGCAACCGCCTTCGAGGATGGCGACGAGAGAAAACGAAATGAAGCAAAACAATAACATAACCAAAATAACCCTAACAAAATTAACTGATTAACATTTGTGTATTGACATAAACACATTGACCAGTGTTGGACCTGAAGTAATTGATATGAATAAACCTGCGTCGCGCTTGCAGTGAGTCGGGTGTACCAAGATGGCGTACTTGTCTCAGAGGGAATGTGCTGCTGTTGATTTGGAACCTCCATCAACTCTACAATTGCATTCGCTCTTCTGTTTTCTCTAAGAAATCCTTGCAGCGTGAAGAGTTCTTTCCTCACAAAAGTTTATTTAAACCTGGGTAACCAACATCTACAAACACATGATTCTAACTACAGTATTGTCGTCCAAATTACGTATATGCAAGTAAACTGAGTGTGTTATGAAATAATTAATGTTTTAAATTAAGGTGAAGAACTAAACTATTTCACTAAATATATACTCATAAATCTAGTATAGTGACTCACTCAATTCGCTTCAAGAAAGAATATGTAGCGTCGCGACTAATTAACGTTGTGTTGATAAAAAATATTAATAATTTATTGTTAACGACTTGAGAGTTGATTGAAAAGCTTAAGTGTTTTTAAGGCTGTAAATGCAACTCATCTTAGAATCGCGGTATTTTCTTTGACATGAGTACCTGCCTTTTTATATATAAATATTCTCATTCTTATCTATAAATATTCTTTTTTGCTCTTTAGGAGTATGACCCAAGTGGCACATCGACTGCTAAATCTCATCCAACGACTGATGTTGCAGTGGATCATGATAATGATAGTGTAGATGGTGGAGCTCAATTGCAAAGAGAAACTACTGGAGCCAGTTTGAATCCGTTTGATAATGACGATGACGAAGATTTCGTAGAAGATGAAAAGTAAGATGACAAATTTCCTAATTTTTTTCCGTTCTAACTTGTGAACAACAAGGGGGTAATTCGTTTTAGACCAATCATCAAGTTTAACCCAATCAGAGTGTATAAATTTTGATAAAAAGTACAGTAAATACCATTTTACATTCCTTGCTCTTGCGAACACAATGTTGCTGGATAACTGAATGAACAAGCTACTGTAAACATTGTTGTAGACATTCTTAGATTTCTTTGTTTCAAACAAAATCATAGAAAGTCTATCTATGATAGCAATATTTAGATAATCCAGTGAGCTAAGCGAACTCTACTGTATTTTAACACCCAGAGAGGGAAATTTTGTTTCTTTGCATCTTAACAAGAATCTGTATAAAATCGCAGTATTTCTGGTTTAATTGGCTTCTAATTGGCTACTTATTGGTACTGGACTATCACGTGATGTTAATACATACACTGCTTTGTTTGTTAGTACTGAAGTTGAAGCACCAAAGGTGAATGGTGATATATTAGACAATGGTATACCCGAAAACGCAGATGATGTTACTGGTGTTCCTGTGCGTGCTAAATATAATTACGATGCAAGCGAAGACGATGAACTATCGTTCCAAGTTGGAGATATCATCACCCAGTTATCAGGCGAAGATGGTCAAGGATGGTGCAAGGGAAGACTAAATGGTGTCGAAGGACTATTCCCAGCAAAGTGGGTGGAGGCTGTTTAGTGATGAATAATAATTTCATAAATAATAGTGGATAATAAGAATTTCAGTAGCAGACACATAGGTTTCCTTTCACATATATTGAAAATCCATGGTTGCCAAAACACCACTTTAGAACGTGCTGGTTTCGCTTGGGTTCGATTTTCCCTCACCGAAATTTTAGTACACCAATTGTCGAACTAACTTCTCGTAGTTTATATTTTTGTTTACAAGCAAAGTTTGAGTTACAAGCAACTTCAGTTCTTACCTTTTTTAAAACAAGCGTTGCTGTTCGTTCAGTGCGAAACTTCTCACCCTTGCCCTTGCGAAATTTAGTGGTCGCCACACAAAGTGTCTTCTCCTGAAGTATTTATTGAATAATTTAATCATGAAATAAAATATATATTGTAATATTATCCAGCAAGGTTTCGTAATACGTCGTTGAAGAGGGCGTCACTTGCCGTAGAACAATTCCCACGAATATGAGATGAAGTTCTCAATGTTTCCCTACTAAATGATATGTTCTGTTGAATTAAAAAATGAACATTGGGACAAAACTATTGGTATACCTAACTATATATACGAGTAACCTATATACCCACTTAAAGAACACAATTAAAGCCACCTAGAACGGTTGTACGAAAGCTGGATAGCGCTATTCACCGGATGGTGTTTTTTCAATGGCTCTAAAGCTAAAACTGCCCATTGTTCCGTATAACATGGCTTAAAGCTTAGTAGTTTTAAATTGAGGCACCTCTTTAAAGATTGTCAGCCACAAGTCTGTAGTTTTATCCCTTCAAAACATTTTTACAAGGTTGAGAAGATCACTATCCGGTGGATAGCGTTATCCATGTAGCCTTTCGTTCAACCGGTCGCTGTCATATAACCGTAAAAATCGGAAGCATGTATATATTTTAGTAATATTAATTAAGAGACAATTATGTAGAAATACTAATCTATATGCATCGAGGCACCGCCGTCTGATTCAACACTGGCTTTACCCAGCCTCGTCCCCGGCGCGGCGGGGGAACACGCGTGGGTCAGTGGGGAAGCTCTCGCGGGCGGAGCGCCTGGCAGAAAATGCATTCAAGATGGCGGCCAAACAAAGAAATGAGCAAGTATTTCTTAAGTTGACAGATAGTGAGCGTTCTTTGTTGGACACAATGCGAAGACCAATATTCGATGCGTTTATTGGAGGAAAGGTTTTGTGTGGGAGAGAAGACTGTGTCAAAAATTAAGATGTAACAAAATGTAACAAAATACACTTCTCTTCGATTTCTGTAGAATGGCTTGCATTTTCTGCCAGGCTCCATTTCGTGTTAAAATCCCTGCGCGCGACATTCCCCACGCGCACGTAATGGAGCCTGGGGACGAGGCTGGGCTTTACCGCAAATAATCGCATTTTGTGATTTGTGGTCTGAAACAAGATTAAATATTAATATACATGCATTTTATGCATTACGACTCAGAAAAAGGACAAAGTTTGTGACTGTTTTTGCATTTGCGATCTGAAAAACGAAAATTGATTGACATGGATATACCAGTTTTGAGACTACCGTGCATGGTACGGAGTTGCGAAATGTCAAACTGTCGAAGCTATTCGACGACCAGCATAAAAACTATGCGGTACTTTTTCTCTCAGTGTCACTTTCTTTTAATCCATTTTATTCACGAGCCTCAAAACGTTTCAGCTTTTAGATAGCTCTAATATGTATCCAATTTACTGTTTTCCTGGCTGACCGGGCCGCGATGACCTGTATATATCGCCTATGTTTGCTTATATGCTTTGCCAATATCTACGCCATATTCTATTTGGATTAGAATAATCATAACCAATTTCGCAGAACTCGTACCCCACTACATCCGGGGAACGGTGCGCGCATTTCCATATGTCGCGTTTAGCAGTGGCAACGAATTAAAAAAAATTATCTCAGTTCGTTCCTATATAAAACGAAACTAAGGTTTGAAATACAAACGAAAACACTTAAAAACATCTTTAGATAAGAAAAAATTTCGACATTTATGTTTACGCTATAGTTTAAAAAAAAATTTGCGATCAATGATTCTCACTTAGCGTCTCGTGACATCACCAGTGACACCCCCTTATACCCTGAGCTACTCACCTAAACACCTATTAGAGCGTCACTTATTTTTTGAATGCGCCCATTTTGATCTCCAGGGAGTTTTGCAATAGCACAATGCGGGTTTCACTTATGCTAATATAATATATTAGTGAGTTTAAGGGCCTGATTCCACGGGCGCTTTTTCTCGGCGAAATGCAAAATATTTCGCCAGTTTTTTTTTGAATTTCGACTACTTGAATACATTACTTCTGCTTGATTGTTCACAATTCAAAAGGAGCAGGCGAAATACTTCGCATTTCGCTTAAAAATTTCGCCCGTGGAATCTGGGCTTACGATTCAACGCGGACGTGAAGTAATATACTGCTCGAATGCCACAGACCCTACCATTAATAAAACAAAGTCAGAGCCGTATGTTAAACAACTTAATACTGGTTTCCTAACACTAGTAATTGTTTTAATGTCACGTCCGCGTCGTAGCGACTAGCCAGATTTAGTGCAACTCTCCATTTTTACCACAAAGCTTCAGTATAGTGATAGGAATATATTTTCTTCACACCAAAGCGAGTCTTGGTAAATACAAAACATAACGGAAATATTAAAGCCTAGTTGCACAAAAGAGTAGTGGTATGTAATTATGGATCGTAAACGGTATAATCGGGATTGTTTCTATACATTAAATAGAAAGTTTGAAAGTGGATAAGGTGCAGAAGAAAATCGCGTAAAGCTAGGTCTGTTCACACAACCCATTTTTGTTGGATCCAATTCACTTCTGACGTATGAAATACAGTCGGTTATTGATGAAGCAGTACTGCATTGGCTTCAGTAGATTTGTTGCTCATATACATTACAAGACCACAGACTATAAAACATCCGTCAGAAGTGAATTGGATCCAACAAAACTGGATCGTGTGAAGAGACCTATAAGGAAACCTGTTATTAAAATCTTTAAACAAATAGTCTTATGATCATAAAAATACATAAAACGTCTGCATACAGAGCTCTCACATATACAGGGTGAGTAAAAAAAAGTGACACCTTTGAAATTCAAATTAGTCGCATAGCGGTATACGAAGCATATCATATTAATTAACCTAAAGCATAAAGTTTTTTCCCATTGGGAGTTAAAATGCATTCTAAGCTCTGTTAATAGAAAAGAACAGTTTTATCAAATCGTTTTTGTTGATTGTACATGGGAATTGTCATATTCCAGCCATAAGTTTGCAGCAAATTTGAATTTCAAAGGTGTCAGGTTTTTTTTTACTCACCCTGTATAGGCATGGATACTTCAAATCTTTAACACTTAAAATTTAAAAGATTTGCAAGATATTAGCCTATGTGTGTTTCTTTGTAATTCGAAGCGTCTGCATCGCAGCTAGCCTAGCAAGATATGAAATAAGGTGTTTCGTGCCAATGGTGTGAAGACGTTAGCTAACCTTACAAGCCTGGTGCTTTGGAATAACCTTGACTTAGAACACCAGTATTCGAACATGGGCCAACGATAACTTGAATGAACATCACGTCGTCCTTGACATATTGACGGTCATTCAGACTCTCAAGTGGCATGAATTGAGGACGTCCTGCTGCGATATTCATATCAGACTGTGGCCGTTGGAAAGATGGATTTTGTGGATCTGTATTAAATGAATCGACCATGTGATCACCATTACCTTGATCCAACAGCATCATGGTGATTTCATGTCGAAATGGCCAGGTTTGAAGAGCATCGTATTCCCCTTTTCATAGAAACAAAATTGACATTGTGATAACACCTAAATCACCAGTTACTTTCATCAGGGGTGGATCCAGCACTAGTGCACTAATTTGCATTACAAAACAAAGTGGTTATTTTTAGTAGTTTTCTTGTGTCACGCAAATTAGTGCACTAGTGCTGGATCCACCCTTGACTTTCATGCTACCATGCCATGATGACGATGTCCAATGAACAGTACGTGGAATTGTATACTCTGCTATATCATAACGCCGAGAGCCTGGGAACTACTTTGAATTGATCGAGAAACACACTGACAGTTCAGCTTACTAAAAAAGAGTACATTTTGCCGCTCGAAACTAAAGATATTTTGATTTATTTAACAAAATAATTGAAGTTCAACAAACCTCTCATAACAACAAAAAACAAGGATAAGTGAGATCCTTTTCCAGATCCATCGCCATTCATGTAGATTTTAGCGCACATCTTATAACCATACTGACCGCTGTAGAAGGGTGGGCTACATAAAGACGTGTTGACCCCGTTGATGGCATCCTGTCGTTTTCTTTGATAATTCTCAATCTTCCACAGCAAGGTGCCGTTGCAATCGTGGTTCACTGGTGGACCACCACGACCACTTTCGTGTGACTCCAACTCAGCAATCCTCATCGAACTAAGAGAAAGAGCCTCGCCCGCCTGATCCATCCTGCTTTGCATCCGTTCCAATTGCAAATGTTTTTCTCTCAACGCTTGCTCTAGGATTACATTGCGTTCGCGTAAAGCGTTGATTTCATCGGTGAGTTCCCTATCTTGCTTCACGAGTTCATCTCTCTCCCTGGCATCAGCACCAACATTGGCTTCCAAACGTTCAACTCTTCTCTCCAATCCAGTTAATTTTTCAGCCATGGTGAGACATTTTTCAGCCAAGCTTGAACGAATTTCAAAGATACTGTCTCGAATCTTCTGAATGATTCCCGTAAATTCAGGTCGTGGGATGTAGTTGCTTAGTTGACTGGCCGAATTAAGAACAAAAAGCAGAAGTAGACGGACACGGTCGATCACAGTATAATTCATGCGGTGGGGAAGATTCCCATCAGTCTAGAAAAATAAAATATTTCTTTTTATACTTCCTATTAAAGATTTTTAGTATTTTTGCACAAGTGAACATAAAAAATCGTACATTCTGATTGGTCAAATTTCAAAATGGTGGCTAGCCGTTTTGTAGACGTTTCTTACAAAGTGGTAAGCGAACAAATGCAGTTCTTGTGTCAATTCACTTGTGCAAAAATACTAAAACAATTATTCGCCTTAGGCGAGGTGATTATCGAGGAATATTCAAACTCGACTTCGTCTCAGTGGTGAACATTCCCCGATAATCACCTCGCCTTCGGCGAATCATTGTTAAATATTCGTATACATAGTTTCTCGCAGAGGCCACGGGCAATTTCGTCATATTCTATTTTGAGGGGGAGGACTGAATTTAAAACATAATATCGCATATTAATCCCCCACGCGTGCGAGCACAAAGAAATCAAATTTCTGCCATAATAAGCAAATATACATGCACATACGAATTTGCATGTGTTGGAAAATTGTTTAAGCAGGAACCTGCTCTCTTTATTATAAGGAAATCAGCACTTATGGCATTCAGACTAAAATATTACCGTAGATTGACAGCGAAAGGCTATAAATTACGTAATCCTAGGTGTGCAAAGTTAATGAAACTTGTTTGCATGACAAACGCATGCAGTATATATATGTATGCAAACACATAATATTATTGTCAAGATGGCGAATATGAGAATAAAGTTAATAAGAGTGATTTGCCTCGCATATTCGTCTATCTGGAGATATATGTGTGATTTGGGATCAACATCAACCGTTTCGTCACACTGGTAACAGTGGCTTGGTTGGCACATATCATTCATGTCTGCGATAAAATGATCCAGGATATTAATTTTTGACGTTAACTTGTAATAATATCCAAATGCAGGGTATAAATTATGTAAATAATGTTACTGTCTTCACTTGTGCCGACGTCTTGTGCACGACTGTCTTATAAACCAAAATATTCCAAAATATTCGCCCTTTCGTATCGACTTTCCACAATTTAAAATACCGCAAGCGTTTCGAATATGTTTACATGCAAGATGCGCGCCAAAACCGTGTGCATGACATTTCAAAATTCAAACGTCATATTCTAAACGACCCAGCGTGCGTTGCGAACGCTTGTTATTTTCCAGTGAACCGGAATCCGGTGTATATGTCATGCATAATTCGTCAGAATTCGAATGTCGTAACTTGCTGTATTTCGGTTTTCACTTTTAATATGTCGCATCTTTCATAACAACGAATAACGTACGACTTGTAAATTGAGACGAATATTCTCACATGAAAACCTGTCTTTATAATAGTAATATACGATATATATATATACATATATATCCTCGTATACATATATATCTATATATATCGCGTACATATACATAATTATGTCACGAACATTGCAATAATTTAGATTCGAAAGCACATCGACCTTGCCGTTTGTCGTCATGTTGAATCATGTAACCGTGAATCCATAAGAATCGATTTATTCTGAATATTGATACTTATAGTGATTTAGTGATGAATTACTACAGTATTTTGTTACATGAGAACATGTTTTGTCTGCATTTACCCAACACCACCTGATACATTGCATTTCTGATAAGATTAGGGTTGTTGCTATAATATTAAACTAAATACAGCTAGTTCTTCAAAATCACACAGAGAAGTAAACAATTGCCATCGTATAAGGAATATTGCAATTGACCTACTACGGTGTCCCCAAACTCCCCATGCCCAATATAATAAAATATAACGTTGGAATCAGGTAGTAATATAGAGGTCAGCTGAAAAAGCAAGCGCGCAAGGATGCTGGGGGTGTTTTTCTTTGGCGTTTTTTCAGCTGACCTCTATACAATAACTAAAATGTCTGGCGTCTGGCGAGTACAAAATAATTGAAAACATTTTCACGTTGAGACTGATTCTC